ACGCATAGACATTACTAAATTTATTTATTTACAACATCAAACTATGGCCTTAGAAGTAACACCATTCACTTCCACACTTATTAAATGTTGAATTTTTTAGGCATCATTACTCATATTCAAAACAAAAACAAAACATTCATTAAAGCATCCACATCAATACGCAAAATCAGTATTACCAAACTCAACAAAGAATATCACCTTCTACATAATATATTCATAAATGCATCTACATTTTCTCTATTGTTATTTTTCTACACAGAAGTATGTGCCTAAAAGGAATACACATTTCAATTTTAATCATGGAACACAATTTATGAAACTGAACCAATTTACAGTTTACAAATAACATTTAAGGCGATACGAACTCTTTTTTTCAAAGATCATACAAAATAAAATTCAAATTTTAATCAAACAACTCTATCGCATATGCTACAATCACATTTAAATACACATTCATTCAAAACAGAATTATAACTCATATCACATCCACAACCAAATTGTTATTCAAGCAAACCAAACATACGATCAAATCACACTCACTACCAACTACTAGTTACACAAAAAAACTTCAATTTTACCTATAAACAGCCAAAACATCATAAATCCTCAGAAAACCCTATAACAAAACCCTATTTCCGATCGTAGATCAAAAACCAAAAATTAAATCTTTATGTTATCTGATTCAATCTACAAGACTTCTTCTTTTTCAAGATCGATAGCATTGGTAGCCGTATTACTAAACTTTGACTGAAATCCCACTTCCATCATTCTTTGACTCCTTCTCAAGCTTTGTGCTCTCGTCCACCTCATTTCACTTCAATTTTATAACATAAAACAATTCACATAATATCTTGGAATTTTTTTTGAAGATTCTATCAAGATCGTTTCACCCAAATGGAAACGATTTGGTTAGATTTTTTCTCCGAGGGTTTATCGGGAACCGTTTGCAATTTCACACTATTACCTTATTTAACAATATCGTATGTTACATAAACCTCATTAAATACATAAATATCACTCTATAATATTACGAGTATCAACAAAACATGTTAGCATACATATAAATTAGGAATACTCAATCTTGACCCTTAAATACAGCAAATCTAATGGTTAAAATTAGTCCTTATGTTCTCACATAAAAAAGTTGTTCTCAGTTTAACCTAACCCTATATATGTGTGTGTGTATATATATATATATATATATATATATATATATATATATATATATATATAGGCTTAGGTTATTTTGTTTTTACTAAGTATTGTGTGCCAAAATGCACAAATCTGGACCAATGGATGAAATTAATCAATGAACATGATTTGAGGGTGTATGATATTACAATGGGGTAACATGTAGCATATAATCACACAATTTTAAGCAAAAGGGTATTTTAGACAATTAACTACATTTATAAAAGGAAATTTTCGGATTTTTAGGGATGATTAATTTTCCTAATTTAAAAAAAAAAATCTGAATTTTTTAATTAATTCAATTTCAAATTTTTACCGATTTTACTCTGTCAGAATATTATTTGTTAGAATGATGCTCTTTCAGAATTTTATTCTAATAGAATATTATTTTGTTAGAATGATGCTCTTTCAGAATTTTATTCTAATATAAAATTATTGAAGAAAAACAAAATTTTTGAATCGAATGTTGAAAAATAACAACATTCTAATATATTCTTATACATCCAAACTTAAATACAAATTCATACATATTCTTACAGACTAAAATCTTTATACATTTTAATATAATTATACATATTCTAAAAGAATATCAAGGTCTTCAACGCCTTTTTCCAGTCATTCCTATCACAAATACAACAAAAACTAATAATTGTTAAAAAAAACATGTTACTTACAATTAACTATCACTTAATATATTCTGATAGAATACATAGAATATGATATAATGCTTATAATACATTCTGGCAGAATACATTGATTTTATTATGATAGAATAAATTCTGATAGAATATATAGAATACATTCAAAGGTATTGTATTTACAGCTAGTAATTCCAACAGAATGCATACCACAAGGTTAAATTCTTTAAATACTCTTTCAGACATTTCAACAAACACTTGTTAGACATTATCATCGAACAAGCCAAAAACCATATTTGATTTACTTGCAATAGTTTACATATAAACATAATTTCCAGCAACATAATTTAGAATGCATACCACAAGGTTCAAAGAGTAAATTAATTTGTGTTTATGAAAAATAAAAAGGCACAAACAACCTAGAATTGTATTCCATAACCGAAAGAAAAACAAAATATATGGCAGACCCATTAAAGCATAGAAACGTGGTTTTCATATAAGATTTGAAAACATTATTTTGTAAGAAAGAAGAGCATCCACATAAAAGAAATTGAAACTCATCAACTTGAACACATGAATAAAGAATGTTACTTACATTATAAGGCCCTGATACAAGAGCTGGAACCATACGAACTAACATCTTTTTCTATGCTTCCTTCTAACTGAAAGTGACTCATTAAGCAAGAAAGAACAAAATTTGGAATAAGTAACTGAAGTTCACTGAGACATTTTAACAAACAGTTGGTGTGCAAATCGGAATATTTTCAATTCCACCAACAGTTCACTAAGACAGCAAGTTGGAATATTTTCAATTCTACATAACTAAAGAACTTACTATCTAAATATGACATTTTTAACAAAAAAGAAAAGTTACCCGGATCTGATCGATGGTGTGTGCCATGTGTCTCGTTACTAATCTTTGTAGAAAAATCAATCATATGCCGTGAAGATGATGACTGTGTTGCATGTAGTATATGAAGATGATGAAGAAAATGTCGACGACGGCATAGGGTTAATTATTTGGAGACTTGAAAATGATAAGATTTATAAAAAAAAACTGCACACGTGATTTAAGGGACCACCATTCGACTTCCCTGAATCGTTTGATGCCTTCTCGATTTGATGAAGACGATGATGAGGATCGAAGTCCCTTTCTCAGCCCACCCTACAAATCTATTTGACCCTCACTAGTGCCCTTGATTTTTGACTGCTCCCATTCGATCGTTCCTTATTCCCGATCTGTTGAAGAAGACGCGTCCCCTCTTTGTGCATTTAGGGTTGTGGATATGATGATTTTAAATAAGCAAAACAGTAGTAGACGTGATTTAAGGGATATACCAAATATATAAGAATTTATTTTTAGTTTATAAAAACAAAATGACCCATCTACCCTTTTTTTACATTAATGATTTATTTATTTTTCTTGAATTCTTATTGGTGCATTTAGGCACACAATAGTTGCTAAAAACATTTGAACCTAATTCTATATATATATATATATATATATATATATATATATATATATATATATATATATATATATATATATATATATACTTGATTAAATGTGACAACTATTAAGAATGGACGTAAAATATTTGTGAATATTACATCAATGATGTAAATGAACGTAAGATAAAAGGGAATGTAAATGAATGTAACATAAACATAAACTTAAGGTTGCATGTATTCTCCCCCCGAAATATTTGAGAAGATAAAAGGGATTGTAAAACTCACCATCATCGCATGAATTTTGTTTGTTTCGATTTTAGGGTTTTTAACTTGGTTTCTTTTCGTTTTTCGACCGGTGGACTTTTTGAATGAAGTAACACCTGATACTTTATCAATAATATATGTTTAACCTAGAAAATACTATTCTTATATTCAAAGAAGGCTACAGGTGTTCTTCGGAGGATACACGCGACCGGTTATGGTGGTGCGTGTGTTGTGATTTTTGACCCGTTTTGGGTTGTTTTTGTGACAAAAGAAGAAGAAAAATAAGAGTATATTACCTAGGTATTTTGTGTAAAAGTAGAGTACCAAAAAATGTTTAGACAAGTAGGATTTAAGTGTAAAAACATGGCAGCTTCTTGGCCCTTTTACCAGATGAAAACAACCACGTTTTGGGGCTGTTTTGTACCCTCAAAGATAGCAACAAATAGGAGGTTTTTAAGGAGTAAAGATGGGGTTGTGATTGGGTTTTAATACACTAAAAAACAAATCCTTGTAGGTTTTTTTAGATCACGAAATAGGGCAGTAAAATAGAGACCTTTTGTTGGGTGTTTGTCACTCAAAAAACAACCAATGTTTTCGGGTGGTTTGAGTCTCCAAAACTTAGCAAAAGAGCAAGAAAAGAATGGGTTTAGGTTCTGTTTTGGTGACCCATTTTGGAGAAGTGAATAAACATACTTTTAGAGGTGTTTTGGGGTTGCAACATTTTTTTTAGAAGCCATTATTTTGAAATCAGAGTTAATAAGAAGATAATGCGGAATCTCAAATCATAATTCTGTAGATATGTATGTTTAGTCCCGCCATTGCAATCTGATAAGTACGTGCAAAATAAATAATCCACAACTAAAAGTACATAGCTTAGTGAGTTCTTTAAAACACCACACACAACACAACATAATAATCAGCTAAGGATTATCAATGAACTCTAGAGACTATCAACGGTCTCAATGGGTTAAAAGCACCTATTGTTGATTAACAGCACTCCTCATGGGTTATCGGCAACCCTGTGGACTATCCGGAATCCCAACAACTCATCTCATATATAACAGAAATCAACAAATAAGACCCAGCTGGTCGATATTCATATATTACCACACATGCCTGTATAGTGAGAAAAATCACCTAAATAAAGAGCTGATACCCCCTACTCTTAGCCCTGCATAATCAACTACACGAACCTCTTAAACCAAAACAAGATAAATATTAGGCTATAGCTCAACAAATCTCCAAGTTTGACTAATATTCAAACAGGTCAATAAGTCAATGATAAACAGTCAAAGTCCACTTTAGTAGGTTGCCACGCCATGGGAGAAAAACGACAAAATAATCGGATATCCCCCAGTCGTCACACCATGGCCTCCATTTCCCACGCCGTGGGAACTGGGTCTCAACAACTTAATGCATTAAGTTATTTTCGTTCAAATTCAAGAGCTCCAATACTCAGATCCAGTCATTCCCAAGGTCTTGATGGATAAAATCCACAGCTAGCCCACAGTCCCACTTTGATGTTTGATCCCCCATAAAACGCTCCATATGTCGCATAAGGTAGATTCCACCATCATCTGAATGGTTGTATGCTTGACACTTCATTTTCAACATCACCACATTCCTTGTCATCAGGGTCTTCACCCTCTTCTTATAGACATCATTTAGAAAACGGCAGGAATTTTTTTGCTGTTAACAAAACATTACAGACAATCTTTAATTATGTAACACAAATTTTACTAACCATTTACATAATCATATAAACATATATTAAGATTAATGATCTTATTTTTATACTTACCAGCACATGGGGTATGTTCCCATAGACCGACTCAACTGTCCCCACCAATCTCCTTTGATCAATTATCAAAATTGAAAAACTTTTAAGGTTAAAACATATGAGGTAGTAATTCCCATCAACAATGGGGAAGAAAACCTACAACATTTTAGTCAACATATAACACTTAATAAAAAACAAATAAATGTAATATTACACATTTTAATCATCATATTTTTATTACCAAATCCACATTTTTTAGCTCAGAATCAGTTGTAAGATCTTCAATTGCCGAGGAGACCATAACTTCAAACTCCTTGTATCTCACATCTTCATTTACCCTCTCGTCAAACATTGATTCACGCTAGGCATTACAATTAAACAACACAATAAGTAACATTAAATTTTTTAAAAACTATTATTATATTTTTTAAAATAAACCATACCAGTGTACCTGCTGTAAAAAAAATTCTAGACTATGACAAATCTGCCTTACTCTCTTCCAATTTGTTTAGTACAACACTCCAAAATTCGATTACATTTGAATGAATATTCACTTTTGCTGCAATAGTTCTGGCATTCAAAACCCTTCTTTCATTTCCCATACGAGCTCCCTGCATTTTTTCATGGTTGTATACATCAAATATTTTACACAACATTAATCATAAAAAAAAACAAATAAACAAGTATGCAACTACACCTTTTATCCATTCCTAATCCAATAATAGCTTGTGTAACCAATATTTCTTTTTTCTCAACTAAATCTTTCAAGTCCACAACTCTTTGTACAAAAGGTGACTTTAATATAGGCCCATGCTTCATTTCTCTTTTTTCTCTCATTTTAATCCTTACTACAACTTCAACATTTCTCTTTGTCCTTTTAAGACATCCCTATTCCACAATTGCATCATCTTTTCCTTCATTCCCTTTCGAAGTATTCATCTCATCTGCGCATTCATTAAGTATAGCTTCAAACGATGGACAATCATTATTAAACATACTACTCCTTTTAGAGTTATTCCTTTCTATTTCATCAGCTTGCTTTATCCAACCAGGTGTTAATATACAAGGAGAATCAAAAGTAGAATTCCCATTGTACATTACAACGTCCATTCCTATATTTTGTTGTTGTGTACCATCATGATGCTCAAACAGAACCTTATCATTGCACATACCGGTTGGCTTCACAATTGTCGGGGACATTCCTTCCATTCCATGATCTGAAGCATCCACATTCGGTTCATAATGATCTTTTGGTCCATTAAGTAAATCCTCCACCATCTTATTTGTCAAATTAGTAATCATTTGGTTCATATCCTCATCTGTTTGTCCTCCGTTTGTTGCATTCACACTCATACCATCAACCTTCATTCTATCTTCATGCCCTTCAGCAATTAAGGCTTTTAGTGTCGTCCCATTAAAGATGTCAACAACCTTCTTAATCACTGCCTTCATTTTATCATTATTCGGATGCATTTCCATACACATCAAACTACTTGCCTCTACAACATGCTTCTGCTCAACCAACCTTCCTACCATACTCTTAATAATCCCACAACTCTCCTACAATAAAAATAAATGAACCGTTACTTAAACAATCTAATATTTTTTTAATACTATACAATTAACAAACCATAAAATAAATTAATTAATATTCCTATTATATTTATTATACAATCATTTTACCTCAACTGATCTATCTTTTGAATGATCTTGATTCATCATCGCATCATAAAACACACCATCCAAATTTTCTCTTAAACTTAGATTTCCAAATACACCCCTGCTTACTTCATATTCTTCTAACACTCTAAGGTGCTCTGAATCAATTTCTATGATGAAGGGCCTATGCCTACGCAAATTCACATCTTCACATATCACTCTGTCTACATACGCCATCTGCACAATTATATTCAATAAGTTTTTCATTACAATTAATTTTTAATGATAAAAAAATTAAAAGATTAAATCAATATTCAATATCATACCATTAGAAGCGCTACAGGTCCTGTGAAGTAGCAGTTTTTGTCATTTGGCTTCCATTTATTCTTGCTTTTTCCTAAACAATCCACTATGTACTCACACCAGTTAATCCTTGATACATCTTCGCATTGAATTAACTTTTCAATAAAATTAATTCTACAAGACCCCATTGTCTCTGTTTCAGCAAAAGTGTTAACGAATAACGTCAAGAAATTTAGCTTAAACAACTCATCCGCAACATTTGTTTTCTTTATATTTTTCAAATAGTTCCCATTATAATAATTTCCCTTCCTATATTGTCCTTTCCAAGCTTCAAGCAAAGGATCATTCTTATCACATTCATCCAGTGTGTTAAAATCCAAACCCTTATTCGGAAGCCCAAACATAGCTTCCAATGTCTCGTTTGTTATGGCCACTTCTCCACTTTTAACCCTTATGGAACAAGAACCTATTGTGAAGCTATCTACAACAAAATATGCTAGCTTTCCAGATAGTGTATCAATCTTCATTCCCAAAAAAGATCCAAAACCCATATCACGTACCATTTTTTCTCTGGCTCTTTGACAAATACAAAGAATTTGGAGACATACGAGTACTCAACCTTTGAAATTCAGTTCCTACCTTCCCTTCTTTACATTTTCCTTCAGCTCTAATTACTTTTTTCCCTTTCACCTAAACCTTTTTATCATTAACACTCTTGTCAACCCTTTTCCTTTTCATTTTCTTTTCATTCTTTCAAGAACCCACCTCATTTTTCTTCTCAACAAAATCATCATCACTTGATTCATTCTTATATGATTTTCCATTGCTTCTCTTTTTGGGTAATTCTAGTTTTTTCCCCACCCAGGTACCTCTTTCTTCCCTTCACTTCTCATATATTTATTTCCTTCAACTACACGGATGCTTGATGACCCTGTACATTTTAGTAAAAATTTATCATTCTTACATTTTACACAATGTATGTACAAAATTTATCCAATAACTAATGTACCTAAGAAAATCATTACCTCACATATTGACAAATTAATACAAATTCATAATAGATTAATCAATACAATCCATTTTATCCCATATTCACACATGAATACATATTCATGTGCCAAAAAAACTAACCCCTCATATAATGTACTCATAAAAGACTACATACTCACTTCCTATAACAATACACATTCACCGACAGATTACTCATTCACTTCCACATTCATTGTAGATTGCTCATTCACTTAATCAATTACAAACTGTAGGCGTAAAACTTATCCCACAAAACTTGATTCACATTCAATATAAAATTATCATTCATTGCCACACACATTCACTATTGCATAGTCATTTATATTCATTATTGATTACACATTCAATTATGAACCACATAATCACACATCCACATTCTATACAGATTACCAACTTCACTACCATACATATTCACTAATGAATGTATACTAATTTACTTACCATACATAACAACTATACCCATACACCCACTCATACACGCATAGACATTACTAAATTTATTTATTTACAACATCAAACTATGGCCTTAGAAGTAACACCATTCACTTCCACACTTATTAAATGTTGAATTTTTTAGGCATCATTACTCATATTCAAAACAAAAACAAAACATTCATTAAAGCATCCACATCAATACGCAAAATCAGTATTACCAAACTCAACAAAGAATATCACCTTCTACATAATATATTCATAAATGCATCTACATTTTCTCTATTGTTATTTTTCTACACAGAAGTATGTGCCTAAAAGGAATACACATTTCAATTTTAATCATGGAACACAATTTATGAAACTGAACCAATTTACAGTTTACAAATAACATTTAAGGCGATACGAACTCTTTTTTTCAAAGATCATACAAAATAAAATTCAAATTTTAATCAAACAACTCTATCGCATATGCTACAATCACATTTAAATACACATTCATTCAAAACAGAATTATAACTCATATCACATCCACAACCAAATTGTTATTCAAGCAAACCAAACATACGATCAAATCACACTCACTACCAACTACTAGTTACACAAAAAAACTTCAATTTTACCTATAAACAGCCAAAACATCATAAATCCTCAGAAAACCCTATAACAAAACCCTATTTCCGATCGTAGATCAAAAACCAAAAATTAAATCTTTATGTTATCTGATTCAATCTACAAGACTTCTTCTTTTTCAAGATCGATAGCATTGGTAGCCGTATTACTAAACTTTGACTGAAATCCCACTTCCATCATTCTTTGACTCCTTCTCAAGCTTTGTGCTCTCGTCCACCTCATTTCACTTCAATTTTATAACATAAAACAATTCACATAATATCTTGGAATTTTTTTTGAAGATTCTATCAAGATCGTTTCACCCAAATGGAAACGATTTGGTTAGATTTTTTCTCCGAGGGTTTATCGGGAACCGTTTGCAATTTCACACTATTACCTTATTTAACAATATCGTATGTTACATAAACCTCATTAAATACATAAATATCACTCTATAATATTACGAGTATCAACAAAACATGTTAGCATACATATAAATTAGGAATACTCAATCTTGACCCTTAAATACAGCAAATCTAATGGTTAAAATTAGTCCTTATGTTCTCACATAAAAAAGTTGTTCTCAGTTTAACCTAACCCTATATATGTGTTGTGTATATATATATATATATATATATATATATATATATATATATATATATATATATATATAGGCTTAGGTTATTTTGTTTTTACTAAGTATTGTGTGCCAAAATGCACAAATCTGGACCAATGGATGAAATTAATCAATGAACATGATTTGAGGGTGTATGATATTACAATGGGGTAACATGTAGCATATAATCACACAATTTTAAGCAAAAGGGTATTTTAGACAATTAACTACATTTATAAAAGGAAATTTTCGGATTTTTAGGGATGATTAATTTTCCTAATTTAAAAAAAAAAATCTGAATTTTTTAATTAATTCAATTTCAAATTTTTACCGATTTTACTCTGTCAGAATATTATTTGTTAGAATGATGCTCTTTCAGAATTTTATTCTAATAGAATATTATTTTGTTAGAATGATGCTCTTTCAGAATTTTATTCTAATATAAAATTATTGAAGAAAAACAAAATTTTTGAATCGAATGTTGAAAAATAACAACATTCTAATATATTCTTATACATCCAAACTTAAATACAAATTCATACATATTCTTACAGACTAAAATCTTTATACATTTTAATATAATTATACATATTCTAAAAGAATATCAAGGTCTTCAACGCCTTTTTCCAGTCATTCCTATCACAAATACAACAAAAACTAATAATTGTTAAAAAAAACATGTTACTTACAATTAACTATCACTTAATATATTCTGATAGAATACATAGAATATGATATAATGCTTATAATACATTCTGGCAGAATACATTGATTTTATTATGATAGAATAAATTCTGATAGAATATATAGAATACATTCAAAGGTATTGTATTTACAGCTAGTAATTCCAACAGAATGCATACCACAAGGTTAAATTCTTTAAATACTCTTTCAGACATTTCAACAAACACTTGTTAGACATTATCATCGAACAAGCCAAAAACCATATTTGATTTACTTGCAATAGTTTACATATAAACATAATTTCCAGCAACATAATTTAGAATGCATACCACAAGGTTCAAAGAGTAAATTAATTTGTGTTTATGAAAAATAAAAAGGCACAAACAACCTAGAATTGTATTCCATAACCGAAAGAAAAACAAAATATATGGCAGACCCATTAAAGCATAGAAACGTGGTTTTCATATAAGATTTGAAAACATTATTTTGTAAGAAAGAAGAGCATCCACATAAAAGAAATTGAAACTCATCAACTTGAACACATGAATAAAGAATGTTACTTACATTATAAGGCCCTGATACAAGAGCTGGAACCATACGAACTAACATCTTTTTCTATGCTTCCTTCTAACTGAAAGTGACTCATTAAGCAAGAAAGAACAAAATTTGGAATAAGTAACTGAAGTTCACTGAGACATTTTAACAAACAGTTGGTGTGCAAATCGGAATATTTTCAATTCCACCAACAGTTCACTAAGACAGCAAGTTGGAATATTTTCAATTCTACATAACTAAAGAACTTACTATCTAAATATGACATTTTTAACAAAAAAGAAAAGTTACCCGGATCTGATCGATGGTGTGTGCCATGTGTCTCGTTACTAATCTTTGTAGAAAAATCAATCATATGCCGTGAAGATGATGACTGTGTTGCATGTAGTATATGAAGATGATGAAGAAAATGTCGACGACGGCATAGGGTTAATTATTTGGAGACTTGAAAATGATAAGATTTATAAAAAAAAACTGCACACGTGATTTAAGGGACCACCATTCGACTTCCCTGAATCGTTTGATGCCTTCTCGATTTGATGAAGACGATGATGAGGATCGAAGTCCCTTTCTCAGCCCACCCTACAAATCTATTTGACCCTCACTAGTGCCCTTGATTTTTGACTGCTCCCATTCGATCGTTCCTTATTCCCGATCTGTTGAAGAAGACGCGTCCCCTCTTTGTGCATTTAGGGTTGTGGATATGATGATTTTAAATAAGCAAAACAGTAGTAGACGTGATTTAAGGGATATACCAAATATATAAGAATTTATTTTTAGTTTATAAAAACAAAATGACCCATCTACCCTTTTTTTACATTAATGATTTATTTATTTTTCTTGAATTCTTATTGGTGCATTTAGGCACACAATAGTTGCTAAAAACATTTGAACCTAATTCTATATATATATATATATATATATATATATATATATATATATATAACTTGATTAAATGTGACAACTATTAAGAATGGACGTAAAATATTTGTGAATATTACATCAATGATGTAAATGAACGTAAGATAAAAGGGAATGTAAATGAATGTAACATAAACATAAACTTAAGGTTGCATGTATTCTCCCCCCGAAATATTTGAGAAGATAAAAGGGATTGTAAAACTCACCATCATCGCATGAATTTTGTTTGTTTCGATTTTAGGGTTTTTAACTTGGTTTCTTTTCGTTTTTCGACCGGTGGACTTTTTGAATGAAGTAACACCTGATACTTTATCAATAATATATGTTTAACCTAGAAAATACTATTCTTATATTCAAAGAAGGCTACAGGTGTTCTTCGGAGGATACACGCGACCGGTTATGGTGGTGCGTGTGTTGTGATTTTTGACCCGTTTTGGGTTGTTTTTGTGACAAAAGAAGAAGAAAAATAAGAGTATATTACCTAGGTATTTTGTGTAAAAGTAGAGTACCAAAAAATGTTTAGACAAGTAGGATTTAAGTGTAAAAACATGGCAGCTTCTTGGCCCTTTTACCAGATGAAAACAACCACGTTTTGGGGCTGTTTTGTACCCTCAAAGATAGCAACAAATAGGAGGTTTTTAAGGAGTAAAGATGGGGTTGTGATTGGGTTTTAATACACTAAAAAACAAATCCTTGTAGGTTTTTTTAGATCACGAA